CAGTGAGTCATGTCACATGTCATCCTGCACAACAAACCCTCTTAGAAAAAAACATCTGTGCCTCCCTGTGAACAGAGGCCTCTCAGTATGCTAACATGTGCAGAGTAAGCCTTCCCAATATGCCAAACTGTGCAGAGAGGCCATACCAGTGTGCCATGCTGTGTAGCGACCCCCTCTGGTATCCGGCTCAGCTTGGGCATCAGAGCAATGCACCAAAACACCGAGGTTTAAATCTGGCTCTCCTGGCATCGGTCGATTAAGGTTCAATGTCGGGGGGCAAGTTCAAACACCTTTTTTTTGCGGTTTACGTTCAATCTGGCGCTCTATGAACAGCTCGTGTGAAACGCCTAGTCCTTCACGCCTCACTGGCACCTGTGAATACCCACGATTGGCTTTTCTATCCGGCAGAGTCGTGTGTGGGTTAAACCCGGGCCCCCTGGTGTCAGTTATACCAAGCTCGTTCCCTTTGAGATAAAGCCGACTTTACATATAATTCTTAGGCAAGATAAAGGCCAAACACTTTAGCTGCAATGGAGATAGGTTTGATAGCCACGTCGCCCCCTAAGCACGGACAATTTCACCGAAGTGTGTGATCATGAAGGAAGGAAATGCTTGCGTCACGGAAGTATTGGAGGCTTTATGGCGTTATTGACATATAAATATTGCGATATTATCTGGATTTACAGGTGATACATTTTCTTACAGGGCCTCTCGGAACCCGAGTGGGTGGTGGACAACAATCCGAGGCACTTATATAAGTGTGTGTGTTTATGTATTGTAAACACTGTTTAAAGTGAACCACCACCTTTCTCTATGTGTTCTTCTGTCTATCTGTCTCTTGCGATCAGCTGATGAAGATGATACATATGTATTAAACGCCTCACCAAAGACGGCAAGAATGTGTTCCGGAGACGCCACAAAGGATTGCAAGCGATTGGTGAAATAGAAATAGAATTTCTACCACAGCTCAGTGGAGGATGATAACAGCTCTGTGGAGGGTGATAGCAGCTTTGTGGAGGGTGATAGCAGCTCTGTGGAGGGTGATAGCAGCTTTGTAGAGGGTGATAGCAGCTCTGTGGAGGGTGATAACAGCTCTGTGGAGGGTGATAACAGCTCTGTGGAGGGTGATAGCAGCTCTGTGGAGGGTGATAACTGCAGAGATTGCTCTTCTCTGCGTGATGTTCCTGATGATGGGCAGGTAACAAGGTCTGTCAGGTTAAGCACCAGTGTAACTCCAGTAACTGGATGGGTGTCCTCTACGGACAGATTTACTCTTTGGCAAACAAAGAAACTCAATGACATTGTAATACCAGATGAATAGGTGAAATAACTTATCGCTGATCCTAATACGGGGAAATAATATAATTGTTTATCGCCAATAATATTGGCGATAAACCAATATTATTTATTGGTTTATCGCCAATAATATAATTTATAAACTAATATTATAATAAATAATTTATAAACTAATATTATAATAAATAATTTATAAACTAATATTATAATAAATAATTTATAAACTAATATTATAATAAATAATTTATAAACTAATATTATAATAAATAATTTATAAACCAATATTATTTATTGGTTTATCGCCAGTGTATAAAAATGGGTAAACCGTTCAATACGTAAGGCAGGTTCAGGTCCATATATACCGAAGGAACGTTATAATCAAAGGCATGTATGCAGGTGATGAGTCACAATAACGTGGCTGAAGATATCACGACTGAACCACACACCAGGGGCGAGATTCACGAAGCAGTTACGCAAGCACTTACGAACGTGTACATCTTTCCTCAATCTTTGACGGCTTTGGTTACATTTATTAAACAGTTCACAAGCTTGAAAACTTCCCAATCAACTGTTGTTATTGTTATAAACAGCCTCCTGGTGCTTCGGAGCTCGTTAACTGTTTAATAATTGTAAACAAAGCCGCCAAAGATTGAGAAAAGATGTACAGGTTCGTAAGTGCATGCGTAATTGCTTCGTGAATCTGGCCCCAGAAGATGAGACGACGACGGTGTTTCGGTCCGTCCTGGACCGAAATCAAGTCGATTGCGAAAATGGTCCAGGACGGACGGAAACGTCGTCGTATCCTTATCTTCTGGTGAGTGATTTAGACTTCAAACACACATATATATATATATATATATATATATATATATATATATATATATATATATATATATATATATATATATATATATATATATATATATTCTTGAAGAACTCTACGTTCTGTTCTTACCCAAAGGCATATACATGTTCTTGAAGAACACTTAAGTACTGTTCTAACCTTGATATATTACCCTAAACTCATGGTGTTTCCAGGACACGTCTGATGAAGTGAAGATGTTCCCATTAAAATTATCGTCTTCGACTCTACGTTTGGAGAGCTGACACTAACTCCAAGATGCTGATTTGAGGAGGGGAGGTTGTTCTAGGGTTGTTATGGTTGTAGGGTGGTTGTTAGGGTTGTGGGGTAGTTGTTAGGGTTGTGGAGTGGTTGTTATGGTTGTAGGGTAGTTGTCATGGTTGTAGGGTAGTTGTTATGGTTGTGGGATGGTTGTTAATGTTGTGGGGTGGTTGTTATGGTTTTGGGGTGGTTGTTAGAGTTGTGGGGTGGTTGTTAATGTTGTGGGGTGGTTGTTATGGTTTTGGGGTGGTTGTTATGGTTGTAGGGTGGTTGTTATGGTTATAGGGTGGTTGTTATGGTTGTGGGGTGGTTGTTAATGTTGTGGGGTGGGTGTTATGGTTTTGGGGTGGTTGTTAGAGTTGTGGGGTGGTTGTTAATGTTGTGGGGTAGTTGTTATGGTTGTAGGGTGGTTGTTATGGTTTTGGGGTGGTTGTTATGGTTGTGGGGTGGTTGTTAATGTTGTGGTGTGGTTGTTATAGTTTTGGGGTGGTTGTTATGGTTTTTGGGTGGTTGTTAGAGTTGTGGGGTTGTTGTTATGGTTGTAGGGTGGTTGTTATGGTTGTGGGGTGGTTGTTCTAGGGTCTGAGGGTGATTATTAGGATTGTAGGGTGGTTGTTAGGGTTGTGAGGTAGTTGTAGGATTGATGGGTGGTTGTTAGGGTTGTGAGGTAGTTGTAGGATTGATGGGTGGTTGTAGGGTGGTTGTAGAGGTTGTGGGGTTGTTATTGGGTGGTTGTAATGATCTAAGGTTCCGGTTGGGTTTTATGGGGGATTTTAGGTTGTGGGGTGAAAATTGTACTATAAGATAGTTATTGAGTTGTGGGATGGTTCCCGGTTAGTGGGATAGTTGTCGGGTGTGGAGGGGTGGGAGTGGACAGAGCTGGTTTGGTTGGGGGGGGGGGTTAGTGGATTGAGCGGTTTGATGTGGGAGTTAAGTGAACTGGAATTTTGTGTGGAAGATCAAACTGCAAATAAACTTTATCAAAAACTAGTGATAATATATTTCTTGTAACGTGATCTTCATTCAAGACTTATCCTTAAGACGTTGAACAAAAAATTATTTCAAATAGTGGACATTAAGCAAAGCTGCTGAAGTGCTTATATTTCTGTAAGCATTGAAGTCACCTTTCAACTGCTTCTATCTTCAGATAACCCATTAAGTTTCTTTTCTAAGCTTGCAAGCATTTATGTCCAAAATTACATACAATTTTATCAATAATATCTGAGGATTTCAATGATGAAAATAAAATATAATTTTCGGTACGTTTCTAATCTCTAAAATAACTATGATTCGGGAGAACATCAATTTTCTGCCAACTGCATAAATAAAAAGTGCCAGTAAGATTCGTGTTAAGCATTATCCGTTATCTTGAGGTTATCTTGAGATGATTTTGGGGCTTTTTAGTGTCCCCGCGGCCCGGTCCTCGACCAGGCCTCCACCCCCAGGAAGCAGCCCGTGACAGCTGACTAACACCCAGGTACCTATTTTACTGCTAGGTAACAGGGGCATAGGGTGAAAGAAACTCTGCCCATTGTTTCTCGCTGGCGCCTGGGATCGAACCCAGGACCACAGGATCACAAGTCCAGCATGCTGTCCGCTCGGCCGACCGGCTCCCGTTAAGCATTTTTGTTTAGAAAGGTCAAAATGAACTTCTATATTCTGCTATTATTTTTCGGGTTGAAAAAATAATTAGCGTTTTATAGCGAGCAACACATATTTACACACATATTCCGACGCTCACAATACATCACTCTTACACCAAACTTGAGGAAAAAAAATACTAGCAAACTAAAAAAAACTAGTTTCCTTTACATTTCAATATCAGTCACATTTTTTAATCTTGTCAGGCAATGTTTATCACACGGCCGGGGACAGGAAGCCTGTCAATCATGCCGACGTACTAGATGTAATCAGATGCAATCTTACAGCTATGTAATCAGAAGCATCATGAACAAGGAAACGTCCGCAGGCTTCTGGACTTGCCCGAGAGTCGAACCCGGGACCGCATGCTTATGAGCCGGCATTGCTTATCTCACAACGACAATGACTGCGGGAGATTATATTCTTCCATTCTGAGGAAAACCTACAAACCGTAAAACTCCAACAAGAATAAAGTATATAATTTTTCACTTCAGAAAAGCGTACTGTGCAGCTTATCATGATGTAGATAAGACTAAGCAAATTGCAAGAATGAACGTCGATTAGAAATGAAAGAAGGTGATAAAGGAAATGATGAAAGAAGTGATTTCTTTGATAGCAGGTTGAATAAATGTATAAATTGATTATTCAATGATGAACTATGAATTGCGTATTCCACTTATTCACACCAAAAGAAAGAGAAATATATCTGAGGCATTAAAAATATTTCTTGAATACGGTTTTTGAGGCAATGCTCGTTAGTGGCAATGCTCGTTAGTGGCAATGCTCGTTAGTGGCAATGCTCGTTAGTGGCAATGCTCGTTAGTGGCAATGTTCGTTAGTGGCAATGCTCGTTAGTGGCAATGCTCGTTAGTGGCAATGCTCGTTAGTGAAAACGAGCGATTGTGATATGAAGCCGTTCACGATGTCTCTCTTAGTATGTCTATGGTGCCTCGTTTGGTGCCTCTGTTGGTGCTACTTTTGGTGCCTGAGTTGATGCCTCTTTTGTTGCTTCTGGTGGTGCCTCTTTTTGTGCCTCAGTTGGTGCCTCAGTTGATGCCTCTTTTGTTGCTTCTGGTGGTGCCTCTTTTTGTGCCTCAGTTGGTGCCTCAGTTGATGCCTCTTTTGTTGCTTCTGGTGGTGCCTCTTTTTGTGCCTCAGTTGGTGCCTCAGTTGATGCCTCTTTTGTTGCTTCTGGTGGTGCCTCTTTTTGTGCCTCAGTTGGTGCCTCTTTTGGTGCTTGTATTGGTGCCTCTTTTGGTGCCTCAGTTGGTGCCTCTGTTGGTGACTCTTATGGACACAAATAATAGTTAAACATCACTATTATAATCATAGTCTTTTAAATTCACAAAATGTTCATCATTAGCAAGGATTGTTCGTCAGGACCTGAACGATAGAGTAGGATCAGGAGGGATGGAAGGAGGATCAGTAGGAGTATCAGGAGGGAACGGAATAGGATCAGGAAGAGTATCAAGAGGGATCAGGGAGCATCAGAAGGGAAAGGAGGAGAATGACATCCACGCCTATGAGGCACGAATGGTCCCCCAAGCCTATTTATAACAGGGAACCCAATAATCCCCAGGGATTCGAACCCAGGAGCCCATAGAGTCCACCATATCCCTGGGCTACTTCGCACTCTAACCACACAGCCAGCGATGGCCTGTTAGTGAAGGACGATCCTGTGTCTCTTTGACATAGGTTCCCCTGGCCATGATCCCGTACTCTGTATTCTCCAGAGATATTTCGTCGTGTCGTAGAACATGCGAATTGATATCTAGTACGACCCCTAGCATGGTCACACATCTTTATTTGGTAGTATACTTCTGTGGCATGTTTTGATGTTAGAACTGGAGACGAGTTTCGTTACTGCCTGATGTGGAGAAGAGCTTCGTTACTGCCTGATGTGGAGAAGAGCTTCGTTACTGCCTGATGTGGAGAAGAGCTTCGTTACTGCCTGATGTGGAGAAGAGCCTCGTTACTGCCTGATGTGGAGAAGAGCTTCGTTACTGCCTGATGTGGAGAAGAGCCTCGTTACTGCCTGATGTGGAGAAGAGCCTCGTTACTGCCTGATGTGGAGAAGAGCTTCGTTACTGCCTGATGTGGAGAAGAGCTTCGTTACTGCCTGATGTGGAGAAGAGCTTCGTTACTGCCTGATGTGGAGAAGAGCTTCGTTACTGCCTGATGTGGAGAATGGCCTTGTTACTCTCCAAACTGGTAGTGAACTTCGTTAAGAGAGAGAAAGAGAGAGAGCGAGAGAGAGAGAGAGAGAGAGAGAGAGAGAGAGAGAGAGAGAGAGAGAAGAGAGAGAGAGAGAGCAAGCGAGAGAGAGAGAGAGAGAGAGAGAGAGAGAGAGAGAGAGAGAGAGAGAGAGAGAGAGAGAGAGAGAGAGAGAGAGAGAGAGAGAGAGAGAGAGAGAGAGAGAGAGAGAGAGAGACAGAGAGAGAGAGAGAGAGAGAGAGAGAGAGAGAGAGAGAGAGAGAGAGAGAGAGAGAGAGAGAGAGAACAGAACCAACACAAACAAGAACAAAGACAGCATGACTAATAAACGATGCTGACAAACACGCGAACCTGCTAAAAACACACCACCACTTACACATAAACAGTGTCAGAGAATTAGACACACAGCTGAGGATACAGTCACACATACAGAGTTACACACAGGCAAAAGGAGAAGTTGGCGTGACACACACAGGAACACATATACATAAGGTTGAGTACCTTGAGTGTAGGATTAAACTACACCTGATGTTCTTCAGCTAAAGTTTCAGTGCAGGTGGATTATGTAAACAATAAAAAAAAATTCAAAATATTTAATGACCAAGATGCATGATGATTTCCTATTAGATAATAGAAATAGGAAATATATATAGTGACTCTGATCAATAACACACAGACAATCACACAAAAATGATTGTGATTTTTTATCACATAATTTTATGTGAATTATCTCATTGATGAATTATCGTTAATGAGATAATTCACTGGGGCTGTGAGGCGAGCTCGAACCCGCGACCAAGGCCTTGCCAAGCCGCATACTATTATGTATATCATATTAGTGTGTATCTGAAGTAGTACAGTGTAGAGTTATTTTACCCTTTTACCCGAGTGCTTGTGGGTCATACGTAAGACTAGCTTCAGTAGGGACCTCCAGACTTACTGTGACTTCAGAAGAAATCCGGTTGTAAGACTTATTAAAGCGTTTCGATGGTACAGTGGTAGAGTAAGTGGCTGGCAATGCCTTGGTCGCGTGTTCCCTCACTGCCTCAGTGGATTTTCTCTATTGAGAAGTGTGTGATATATGCAAGTCAACACCAAACCAAAGCCGACGTGTCAAATAGTTATAACTATGAACGAAAGTTTCTATTTACAGTTAAATAATTATTATTCTCTAACTTTGTTTTATTGATTCTCAAACGTTTTCAAAAGTCAACATTTTCTAATGACCTTTGATGTTTACCTCAGTCTAAAGCTGTTTATTACGAGATTGTATTAAACTATTTAATTAAGCAAATTTTAGATTTGCATATGTTGAAACACGAGGTCTTTTTCCTTGCGGCTAGAAAATTAACATGTGGATATCTGGTCAATAATTGTTGCACCCACCATCCATAAAATATACTAAATAATTACAAATATACGCCACTTTTTATTTCATCATTTACAAATTGAAGTGTAATTAAACCTTTAATATATATATAACGTAAAAAATAATTTATTTGGGATCAGATGTATATTTGTACTCATTCAGTGTTGACAGACTTATTTAGTGTTTCATTATTGTTTTGTGAATGGTGTACTTATTCATCACGTACAGCACACGGATGATGAAGTTTATCATTACATATCATCTTTCAGTTTAATGTATTTAGAGCATATATTTAGAAAGCATCATTGAGTGCGTGAGATGTTTTTACTATGATGTCGGCGAATGAGAATTAATTGCATCCGTGCAAGAGTCACGAGAATTGGGAAAAATTTCAGTGACAACCTGGTAGCCTTGAATTGGCTGGTGATCTTGGCAAGGCCACTTTATTATATTAACTAATTTGAGGGCCACAGACGTGTTGGTTCCGACACACACGTGCCAAGTAGAGTGTCACAGACGTGTTAGCTCCAACACACACGTGCCAAGTAGAGTGTCACAGACGTGTTGGTTCCGACACACACGTGCCAAGTAGAGTGTCACAGACGTGTTAGCTCCAACACACACGTGCCAAGTAGAGTGTCACAGACGCGTTGGTTCCGACACACACGTGCCAAGTAGAGTGTCACAGACGTGTTGGTTCCGACACACACGTGCCAAGTAGAGTGTCACAGACGTGTTGGTTCCGACACACACGTGCCAAGTAGAGTGTCACAGACGTGTTGGTTCCGACACACACCTATCACAAGCAGACTGAGATGACGATGTACATATAAAAAAGAGTTAATTTCCTCGCAGGTTGTGAATGTCTTTTGTATGATGTGTTTCGCTTGGGCAAATATAATCCAATTTACAATGATATCCAATGCTGCCACCGGCAACCAGGGGTTAATTTTTCTTTATAGCTATCACACAGATACACAAAACTATCCTAAAAATTATGATTTGAGAAATGCAGGTGTATTTACGACCTGCCAATTACATGAATCCATTTACTTGCATCTTTAGCTCAATATGTTCCATAGCACACTAGTGCCTATGACCCCCAACAACTACTCACGCTTCACAATTCGTTGATTTCTATATTTCTTTAATTGCTGATTCCTGACTTTGAAATCTCTCTTATAACCATTCTGCACAATTGGACTGTGTTATTTACTTCAATACATCAATTATGCTCGTTTTGCATGCAGTCCACTCTTTTTTTTTTAATCTATACATTTATCCTCAAACAATATATCATTGACCTCTTATTTCCTTATTAACATATGAACAAGCCTTTCAGATCCTCGTATAACCTGTGTAATGATTTGAAATTCGTTAAATAACTAGTGTAAGACTTTTAATCCCTTGAATAAACTATGCAAAAGACTTTTAATCCCGTGTATAAACCATGTAAAAGACTTTTAATCCGCCTTCTAAAACCTGCACACAGGATTACTAAATTCTGGAATAATATTCTGTGTACAAGTCTAAAATTTTTAACACTTGAACAACACCAGTGATTAACAGAGTCCCGTAATTAACTTGGACCCCCTTTAATCCTGTTATGGAAAACTGATTGGACGTAGCAAGACGACTGGAACCAAATAGATGAGAACACAAAAGATCCTCATGGATAAAAAAAAAAATTGTATAACAAATTCACGGATTGCGAGGCATTTATAGGCCCAGGAAAAGCGAAAACAGATTCAGGTTACGAGCAAATGGGACATATGTAAGACCTTACTATGTACCAGGGAAATGATATGCCGACACACTATTGACACAAGTTATTTTTGTAAATTTATAAAGTGATTCAAAAAGGAGATGCGATGGACCTCAAGGGACTAAAAGCACCATATGAGTGCTTCTCAACACAACATATCCAAGAGGAAACATATCCAAGAGGAAGCATATCCAAGAGGAAGCATATCCAAGAGGAAGCATATCCAAGAGGAAACATATCCAAGAGGAAACATATCCAAGAAGAAATATATCCACGAGGAAACATATCCAAGAGGAAACATATCCAAAAGGAAACATATCCAAGAGGAAACATATACAAGAGGAAGCATATACAAGAGGAAACATATCCAAGAGGAAATATATCCAAGAGGAAACATATCCAAGAGGAAAAATATCCAAGAGGAAGCATATCCAAGAGGAAACATATCCAAGAGGAACCATCTTCAAGAGGAACCCTCTTCAAGAGGAAACATATCCAAGAGGAAGCATATCCAAGAGGAAACATATCCAAGAGGAACCATCTTCAAGAGGAAGCATATTCAAGAGGAAACATATCCAAGAGGAAACATCCAAGAGGAAACATCCAAGAGGAAACATCCAAGAGGAAACACGCGCAGAAAGACAGAACCGGTCAATCAGGTTACACAAGAGTCCACCATACACGTTGAATTGATATTTAGATAAACTAAATTGAACTTAGATAAACTAAATTGAACTTAGATAAACTAAATTGAACTTAGATAAACTAAATTGAACTTAGATAAACTAAATTGAACTTAGATAAACTAAATTGAACTTTGACCACTAAATTGTAACACTCGCCTGAGCCTTCTGGATCTTAAGTACTAATTTGAAATGCAAATTAAAGGAAGTGGGAAGAGGCAGGAGAGATAAAATAATTTATATTTTTCTAAAATGTGTGATCAAGTTGAATGACGGTAGAGGTAGCTCATGAACATGGCTTTACAAAACAAAGTGGATTATTTTGCATATATATAACCATAAGGTTAAGATGGCTTTACAAAACAAAGTGGATTACGTTGCTCATATATATCCATAAGCTCAAGATGGCTTTACGAAATAAAGTGGATTAGGTTGCACATAAATATCTAAGCTTACGATGGAATAACAACACAAGACTTAAGAGTTTGTATATAGAGGCAAAATATGTAATAGAGGTTCTAGAAGAGGTACAGAGGGACTAGTAAAGAGAAAAACAGCAACAAAATCATCAGTAGAGGAAGGACCACATACGTGAGACTCAGAATATAAATAGTTAAACACAGAAGTAATAAGAAAAATCCATGCTAAATATCCAGGATAAAAATATAATTATTTTTA